TTAACGCCTTGTGTGATTTCATTGTTTCTATCTTGTTTGGTTGTGCACTTTGAGTTGCCTTGTGTATGAACTGTGTTATTCCAATAACCTGGACTTGGTTCTCACCGTGGCGTGCTGGTTCTCACCGTGGCGTGCTGGTGCTGTCTCTTGAGGTTGAAGAGGACCAGGGTGGAGTCGCAGGCCACCAGCAGGTCTCCGCTCAGGGCGCAGCAGGCCACCGCCACCGGCCGCTCGGACATCGGGATCTCAATAATCTCCATCTGAGCTCCGCCCCGCTGGGACGCCCCCCGCAGAAGGTGCCCCAACAAGCGCACCCCCACCCGGGCCTTCTCCTCGGCCTGAGAGCCACGCAGGGCACAGGGAGGTCAACATGTGTCTCAGAGCGAACACGAAACGATTGACACCAAAGAAGAAGATATTACACACTATTTTTGGCCGATTAAATTATAATAATTCTATTTTCTTTGTCATTTCATGTTTTAGAACTTAGTACAGTGAAATGAGTGTGAAAGGGTAAAGTGCTGTGGCCTGCCCTCCCTCTGATGGTCACATCAGAGGGAGGGCAGGCCGGCAGGGGGAGACATTTCATCCAAAAGATCCGGCTGCAGATAAGTAAAATCACTTGAGAAATTTGCCAAAACGAATTTATGGGAAACACTTTTCTTTGAAAAGGCAGAAATAAAGGACGCAGTTACACAGTTTGTTCCAGAAGTTTCTGCAAGCTCCTGAAGCTAAGCAGGGCAGGGCCTAGTTAGTACTGTGATGGGAGACCTCAGGGAACAGCAGGTGCCACAGTGGGGCGGCTGCGGCTGTAAAGTAAACTGTGGTTGTGTCCTTAAGCAAGACACTTCATTCACATTAGAGTCTGGTGTGTGCGTGAATGGTTGATGGTGGTGGGAGGGGCCAAAGGCACAGACTGGTTGCCTCGCTTCTGTCAGTGTGCCCCAGGGCAGCTGTGGCTACAGTTTATCACCACCGAGTATGGAGTAGAATGAATAATGACATGTGAAGCGTCTTTGAGAGTCCAAAAAGCCATGCGGTATTATTATTATTATTATTATTATTATTAGCATGGATGGATCTAAAAAAAAAAACAAGCCAATTTTGTAGAATATCTCAGAATGTCTCTTTTAAAGACTAAAGACAGGACTGGTCATCTGCTGAGTTTGGATCGTACCTGGTGACGCCAGTTGGTGTAAGCTCTGAGGTAAGTCGCAGAGTTCTTCTCTTCTATCGTCACTAAATAATCTCCTGTTGAAAAAGTCAAAAATGTGAGAAAATCATTGTTTAAAGCCACAACATCCATCAATCCATTTTCTTCCCCTTAATCCATTTCTGGGTAGGGGGGTGGCAGTCAGAGCTGCACCCAGTCCACAGAGCACCAGCCCCTCACTGATCCTCCTGCAGGAGCTGAGTCCACAGGAGCCTTGATTATTCAGCAGGGGCTTCAGGTAAAGTGGGGTTAAGTGTCTGCCCACGGACACAACGACAGCAGTCATCAGTGGGAGTCGTGAAGTAGGTCTTGTGGTGGGCTCGAACCCATGACCTTCAGGCTCTAAGGCCAACGCTCTACCAACTGAGCTACTGTCGCCCTGTTTACAGCCACAACATCTACTTTACAGCTGTGTTTAGTTTTCATTATATTCTTTAATTACACGGTTCCTCACAGCAGCAGCAGAACTCTTCATTGATTGGAATATAATTTCAAAACTTTCTTCCAGTCATTATTTCTGGATAATGGACCTCAGAAAACAATAATGGCCGCTTCCAAAGGCAACGCAATTTGTGCTTGTAATTCACATGTGTGGATCACTAGATCCAGATCCAAGTAGTTCCGGCCACTTCGTCAACACTCGCCTAGCCACGCTAGTGCGGCAGTCTATGGTAGTGTGGTCACCTTTGGGAACTATTTTCTTTGCAGTTTTTAGATAAACATTTCAGCATTCATAAAAGTGTGTGTTCTTATTTTCGGATAATGAACTGCATTCCATACATTATCCCGTACGTATCGCCCTGAATCACAGACTGTGGCTGAGCTGAACAGTATTGTCCTGTAGCGAACAGTGAGGCACCTGTGCTGCTGTGGCGGATGCTCTTCACGGTCCCCATCGTGGCGAAGCGACAGAGGAGTGGACACCCTTCCTGCTGCAGACTGTAGGCCTCCACCTGCACACACACACACACACGCACCCACACACACACACACACACACGCACCCACACACACACACACACGTATGCGCGAACACACACACACACAGTCTGCATCAACTGGAGATCCACCACAGACTGTGTACAGACCGACAATGCTAACTCGCTAACTCAATGAAGCCCAATAGGAAGTGCTCATAGATCAAGTTTCGCTCCATCTCTCTGGCTCCTATTGACTAAAAAAGTTAGAAAATAAACTCCTCTCACTCAGTAACCGTTTGTGTCACACTCACCATTTTGGGCTTAATAAAAACTGGGTTTTATTGCTCCCTGTGATCCTGGTGTTTATATTGTCAAAATGTATCTGTAAATCCATATAAGGTTTGACCAATCAGATGCCTTCATTGGTCGGAGGAGCTTCAGCTTGCCTTAGCAACCGTCCTAGCAACACGTCTGCCCCTGTTCCGGCGCAAAGCTAACACCACTGGAGCAAACGCCCAAATAACTAAATGTGCTCAAAATTGGCTTCTTCTGCATTAAGGCAAAGACTATGGTGATGTCACACTCTGTCAGTCCACTCCTGATACACGCTCTATGGTGTGTGTGCTGTGAGCAGGAGGAACTGAGACACAAACCGGCACAAATCACAGTATATTGAGTTAAAAAATGATCAGGTCAGCTCACCTTACATCCTCCAGCGGCTACGACAAACAAGGCCCCGCCCCCACAGCAGACCAGGCCAGGCTCCTGCTCCACCTAAAGCACAAGACACGGATTAAGCTATTAATATATCCTTTACTCGTCCCACATTTGGGAAATGTCAGTTTTGCGTCAGCCGTTACAGAACAGTAGGAATGAGGAGCATACACAACATACACAAAGCTTAGATCACATGGGAGGTGATGTCGCACACAAACCTGCACGATCTGCTGCGAGGAGAAGGGGTGGCAGTTGTAGACGTGCACCATGTTGGTTGTTGGACGTTTTCCGTTGTGTGGTCACTTCATGTCCTATGAAACTGAGGCATCCGTGGGTTTTTGACAACTGAAAGTGGATGGAAACATAATTATTTTTGGCCATTAAAAAAGATCACGAGAAATAATATCTTCATTAAAAAATATATGTCAAAACAAGTATGAAGGGTCAAAGAAGCTATAGACTTGTAACTCACGATGCTGCCACCAGAGGGAGCACAACATCAGCCATAGACAGAGAAATATTGTCATCATTATGGTGCAGATGGAGCAGATGTTAGTTCTTTTACTGCCGTCAGTATTATATATTCTATCAAAGTTCTGAAAGAAATTTACTTTTAAGCAGTTTAAACAGTTTTGAAAGCTGCAAATAATTATTATCATCTAGGATTAAAATCACTAGAGGGACTGGTATCGCTTTGCAGACTTTCTTATGCTCCCAGGTTGAACTCTGAATGTTGAATCAACCAGAACCCGAACCCTTCAATGTGGGTGATATGAATATTATAATAGATCCATGGTTCTTACCGAGCTGCAGGAAGGGGCTGCGGCTGAATCGCTGTCACATGCTACACTCGTGAGTGTCGTTTCGGCTCCAGTTTAGTTTTTCGATCCTTTCTTCCTCCGTCCTCACGTCACAAACACAACACGTGATGAAACCCGGAGAAACAATCACAAACGTGCGACTTCAGAGAAACTTTATACGTGTTTTCTGTTTCAATCCTATTCCGCCTGAAGTTTATCGATCGCGCACGAAGCCGGAAGTGAGCAATCAAAACACGGAAGTGCCAGCTCCTCCGTGCGCTCTGATTGGCTACTGAACTTGGTTTCCAGGCAACGGAGGAATCAGGCATGGAATGGAGTTGTTTTTGTTACTTTTTTTGAAACAATTACGTAAAGATTTTACAGCTGACTTTATATTTGGATTCAAAACCATGTGAACTCTGAAATAATGAAATATCTATCCATCCAGAGGTCGGGCACCTCGGGAGCCAAAACAGTCTCGAGCCATACACTTCTTTACTGGGAATATGTTTGATTTATTTTTAAAAGTGGGGGAAAAAAGAACCCCATTTGGAGTTAAATATTAGTCTCAGAATGTCATATTTTATCTATTGACATTTTTATACTGAAGAAATCCTATACATAGAACTAGAACATAGAATCCATTACGGTTACTCTCTGGAAATCACGGGAAAACACACTTTCTCAAATTATGTTTTTAAAGTAAAAAAAAAAAAGAATAGCGTTGAAAACCGTTGCGAATTCTTAAAGTGAATATTCTATTTTTTCCGGTTGTTAAATGGCAGCTTGTCTTGTCTTGTCTTGTCTTGTTTTATTTATTTGAACAAAATCTTGAAATCTATATATCTATCATTATCCCTATTATATATTTGCTGTATTATTATTATTATTTTAAATATTATTATTATTATTATTATTATCATGTATACGTGTATATCATGGATCTATCATAATGTAACGCTACTGTCCTTCTCCTGTATTAGCTGTAACCACTAGATGGCAGCATTTCTCCCCTCGGTCAAATCAAAAGCATTAGAAAGGATGAGGCGCGTGGATTAACTCCCCGCGGCCTTTAGAAACATGACACACACTACACACTCTACACACACTACACACACGCTCCTCACGTTCACACACAGGATATTTAACCATAACAATCATATTAATAACAGTAATGATAATGAGGATATTAATGATGGCTGATGACACGTGGAGTGGTCAAGAGCCCAAACGGACACATTTTAAATCAGGTTATTGGATTTCCCGTTAACTTCCCCCGGAGGACCCGGAGGACCCGGAGGAGACGCAGGCCGCCCCGGGCTCACGGACGCAGACTCTGGGCTCTGAGAAGGTAAATACTCACTGTTTTTAACTATGCGTAGGTTTAGTACCATCAGTGACCAGTACCAGGCCCTTCTCTAGTCCCTCTTGGTCCTGGTTCTATCCAGGCCGAGCTGGTGCTAAAGTGTTCTAACGGACAGAGAGCTGCTGGTAGCCATGGTTACCAAGGAGAGCAGTGTGTGTTCGTACACGTCTGTCTGTGTGGGTGTTTGTGTGTGTGTGTACTTGTGTGTGTATGTACCTGTGTGTATCTGTGTGTGTGTGTGTGAGTATACCTATCTGTGTGTTTGTTTGTACCTCTGTGTGTGTGTCTGTACCTCAGTGTGTGTGTACCTGTGTTTGTATAACTCTGTGTGTGTGTGCGTGTGTGTGTGTAGCTACCTATGTTTGTATACCTCTGTGTGTGTGTGTGTATACCTGTGTTTGTATACCTCTGTGTGTGTGTATACCTGTGTTTGTATACCTATGTGTGTGTGTATACCTGTGTTTGTATACCTCTGTGTGTGTATCTGTGTGTGTGTGTATACCTATCTGTTTGTTTGTACGTGTGTGTCTGTACCTCAGTGTGTATACCTGTGTTTGTATACCTATGTGTGTGTGTGTGTGTGTGTGTGTGTACCTCTGTGTGTTTGTACCTCTGTGTGTGTGTGTCTGTACCTCAGTGTGTGTGTGTACCTCTGTGTGTTTGTACCTCTGTGTGTGTGTGTCTGTACCTCAGTGTGTGTGTGTACCTGTGTTTGTATACCTGTGTGTGTATGTGTGTGTACCCGTGTTTTTGTACCTCTGTATGTGTGTTCATTTATCTGTATGTGTGCGTGTGTTCCTCTGTTAGTGTGTTTGTGTACCTCTGTGTCTGCGTGTGTACCTGTGTTTGTGTACCTCTGTGTGTGTGTGTGTGTGTGTGTGTACCTGTGTTTGTGTACCACTGTGTGTGTGTTTTTGTGTACCTCTGTGTGTGTGTGTTTGTGTACCTCTGTGTGTGTGTGTGTTTGTGTACCTCTGTGTGTGTGTGTGTGTGTGTACCTCTGTGTCTGTGTGTGTACCTGTGTTTGTGTACCTCTGTGTGTTCGTGTACCTCTGTGTGTGTTTGTGTGTACCTGTGTTTGTGAACCTATGTGTGTGTAATTGTGTACCTCTGTGTGTGTGTGTACCTGTGTTTGTGTACCTCTGTGTGTGTGTGTTTGTGTACCTCTGTTTGTGTGTGTGTACCTGTGTTCGTGTACCTCTGTGTGTGTTTGTGTACCTCTGTGTGTTTGTGTACCTCTGTTTGTGTGTGTGTGTACCTGTGTTTGTGTACCTCTGTGTGTTTGTGTACCTCTGTGTGTGTGTGTGTACCTGTGTTTGTGTACCTCTGTGTGTGTGTACCTGTGTTTGTGTACCTATGTGTGTGTACCTGTGTTTGTGTACCTCTGTTTGTGTGTGTGTACCTGTGTTTGTGTACCTATGTGTGTGTGTGTGTGTATACCTGTGTTGGTGTCTCTCTGTGTGTGTGTGTGTGTACCTGTGTTTGTGTACCTCTGTGTGTGTGTGTGTGTACCTGTGTTGGTGTCTCTCTGTGTGTGTGTGTGTGTGTGTGTACCTGTGTTTGTGTACCTCTGTGTGTGTGTGTGTACCTGTGTTGGTGTCTCTCTGTGTGTGTGTGTACCTGTGTTTGTGTACCTCTGTGTGTGTGTGTGTGTGTGTGTGTACCTGTGTTTGTGTACCTCTGTGTGTGTGTGTGTGTACCTGTGTTTGTGTACCTCTGTGTGTGTGTGTGTACCTGTGTTTGTGTACCTCTGTTTGTGTGCGTGTACCTGTGTTTGTGTACCTTTGTGTGTGTGTGTGTGTATCTCTGTGTGTGTGTGTACCTGTGTTTGTGTACCTCTGTTTGTGTGTGTGTACCGGTGTTCGTGTACCTATTTGTGTGTAATTGTGTTTGTGTACCTCTGTTTGTGTGTGTGTACCTCTGTGTGTGTGTGTGTACCTCTGTGTGTGTATGTACCTGTGGATGTTTGTACCTCTGTGTGTGGGTGTGTACCTCTGTGTGTGTGTGTGTGTGTGTACCTCTGTGACTAATGTCTCCAACCTTTAGCTCAGGAGCTACCTGTAGCTCGCCAGCCCCTTTCAGGTAGCTCCCCAAAGGATTTAGAATTAATCACATGATCTTGAAATATACATATATCTTGTCATGTCGATCTTTATTACGACTGCAAAAAGGAATAGCTCTCTGCCTCTTCTGTTGTATAGAAGTAGCTCTCTGCCTCTTCTGTTGTATAGAAGTAGCTCTCTGCCTCTTCTGTTGTATAGAAGTAGCTCTCTGCCTCTTCTGTTGTATAGAAGTAGCTCTCTGCCTCTTCTGTTGTATAGAAGTAGCTCTCTGCCTCTTCTGTTGTATAGAAGTAGCTCTCTGCCTCTTCTGTTGTATAGAAGTAGCTCTCTCTTCTGTTGTATAGAAGTAGCTCTCTCTGTTGTATAGAAGTAGCTCTCTGCCTCTTCTGTTGTATAGAAGTAGCTCTCTGCCTCTTCTGTTGTATAGAAGTAGCTCTCTGCCTCTTCTGTTGTATAGAAGTAGCTCTCTGCCTCTTCTGTTTTATAGAAGTAGCTCTCTGCCTCTTCTGTTGTATAGAAGTAGCTCTCTGCCTCTTCTGTTTTATAGAAGTAGCTCTCTGCCTCTTCTGTTGTATAGAAGTAGCTCTCTGCCTCTTCTGTTGTATAGAAGTAGCTCTCTGCCTCTTCTGTTGTGTAGAAGTAGCTCTCTGCCTCTTCTGTTGTATAGAAGTAGCTCTCTGCCTCTTCTGTTGTATAGAAGTAGCTCTCTGCCTCTTCTGTTGTGTAGAAGTAGCTCTCGGCCTCTTCTGTTGTATAGAAGTAGCTCTCTGCCTCTTCTGTTGTATAGAAGTAGCTCTCTGCCTCTTCTGTTGTATAGAAGTAGCTCTCTGCCTCTTCTGTTGTATAGAAGTAGCTCTCGGCCTCTTCTGTTGTATAGAAGTAGCTCTCTGCCTCTTCTGTTGTATAGAAGTAGCTCTCTGCCTCTTCTGTTGTATAGAAGTAGCTCTCTGCCTCTTCTGTTGTATAGAAGTAGCTCTCTGCCTCTTCTGTTTTATAGAAGTAGCTCTCTGCCTCTTCTGTTGTATAGAAGTAGCTCTCTGCCTCTTCTGTTGTATAGAAGTAGTTCTTTGCCTCTTCTGTTTTATAGAAGTAGCTCTCTGCCTCTTCTGTTGTATAGAAGTAGCTCTCTGCCTCTTCTGTTGTATAGAAGTAGCTCTCTGCCTCTTCTGTTGTATAGAAGTAGCTCTCTGCCTCTTCTGTTTTATAGAAGTAGCTCTCTGCCTCTTCTGTTGTATAGAAGTAGCTCTCTGCCTCTTCTGTTGTATAGAAGTAGTTCTTTGCCTCTTCTGTTTTATAGAAGTAGCTCTCTGCCTCTTCTGTTGTATAGAAGTAGCTCTCTGCCTCTTCTGTTTTATAATAATAATAATAATAATGCATCGGTTTTATATAGCGCTTTTCTGGACACTCAAAGACGCTTCACATGTGTCATTATTCATTCACTCCATACACGGTGGTGATAAACTACTGCTGTAGCCACAGCTGCCCTGGGGCACACTGACAGAAGCGAGGCAACCAGTATGCGCCATCGGCCCCTCCGACCACCACCAACGATTCACACACACACCAGACTCATTCTAGGCAATGGGGGTGAAGTGTCTTGCCTAAGGACACAACGGCAGTTTGGCACTTTACAGCCGCAGCCGCCCCACTGTGGCTGGTGTTCCCAGAGGTTAAGTGTCTTGCCAAGGACACAATGACAGTAGTCAGAGGGAGTCGATGGTGAAAGTCTTGAGCGGGGCTTGAACCCACGACCTTCTGGCTCAAAGGCCAAAGCTCTACCAACTGAGCTACTGCCGCCCGTCTGTGTTATAGAAGTAGCTCTCTGCCTCTTCTGTTGTATAGAAGTAGTTCTTTGCCTCTTCTGTTTTATAGAAGTAGCTCTCTGCCTCTTCTGTTGTATAGAAGTAGCTCTCTGCCTCTTCTGTTGTATAGAAGTAGCTCTCTGCCTCTTCTGTTTTATAGAAGTAGCTCTCTGCCTCTTCTGTTGTATAGAAGTAGCTCTCTGCCTCTTCTGTTTTATAGAAGTAGCTCTCTGCCTCTTCTGTTGTATAGAAGTAGCTCTCTGCCTCTTCTGTTGTATAGAAGTAGCTCTCTGCCTCTTCTGTTGTGTAGAAGTAGCTCTCGGCCTCTTCTGTTGTATAGAAGTAGCTCTCTGCCTCTTCTGTTGTATAGAAGTAGCTCTCTGCCTCTTCTGTTGTGTAGAAGTAGCTCTCGGCCTCTTCTGTTGTATAGAAGTAGCTCTCTGCCTCTTCTGTTGTATAGAAGTAGCTCTCTGCCTCTTCTGTTGTATAGAAGTAGCTCTCTGCCTCTTCTGTTTTATAGAAGTAGCTCTCTGCCTCTTCTGTTGTATAGAAGTAGCTCTCTGCCTCTTCTGTTGTATAGAAGTTAGCTCTCTGCCTCTTCTGTTGTATAGAAGTAGCTCTCTGCCTCTTCTGTTGTATAGAAGTAGCTCTCTGCCTCTTCTGTTGTATAGAAGTAGCTCTCTGCCTCTTCTGTTGTATAGAAGTAGCTCTCTGCCTCTTCTGTTTTATAGAAGTAGCTCTCTGCCTCTTCTGTTGTATAGAAGTAGCTCTCTGCCTCTTCTGTTTTATAGAAGTAGCTCTCTGCCTCTTCTGTTGTATAGAAGTAGCTCTCTGCCTCTTCTGTTGTATAGAAGTAGCTCTCTGCCTCTTCTGTTGTGTAGAAGTAGCTCTCGGCCTCTTCTGTTGTATAGAAGTAGCTCTCGGCCTCTTCTGTTGTATAGAAGTAGCTCTCTGCCTCTTCTGTTGTATAGAAGTAGCTCTCTGCCTCTTCTGTTGTATAGAAGTAGCTCTCTGCCTCTTCTGTTGTATAGAAGTAGCTCTCGGCCTCTTCTGTTGTATAGAAGTAGCTCTCTGCCTCTTCTGTTGTATAGAAGTAGCTCTCTGCCTCTTCTGTTGTATA